ATCTATTTCAAGTACCCTTTAAGGTGCATGCTTCAAAGCATTCTGGTGAAGTACTTGTTTCAATCGGGTTCAAACCTTGCTAATATCTTGGAAATAACGTGTTTTAGGCAAATATTGACCTTGTGATGATGATGCGTCATCAGGTGACAAGTCATGTGACAGTAAGGGCTCACTATTTAAGCCATCTATCTTTTCAAGTACAATAAACTCTAGCCAAGTCGGCACTCTCGGGACTCACGAAATTATGACGACTTATGCGAATGCTGGCTTGTGTTGTAGGTCATTATTTTGCCGACTTACACGTACACATGTATTGCCTATGTTCATTTTGATTCCTTGCACTAATTCAGTGGCTTTGATTTACCCTGGTTAATTTCTACCTCCATGGTCGATCCCAGCAAATTCGTTCTCGATTATTAACCTGCAAATTCAATAATTGATAATGTGCCAATACAGACGAAGCAAGGACAGCAAGCCACTTGCATTGCAGTACGTATAGCACTGGTATTGCTGTACTCATGCTGGCCGCGCGCACACTGGACTTGTCACTTGACACTTCTTGGCAACGGCGTCAAAGGAAACCGATACCGAAGCGCGACTTTTCTAAATGCCGACTTACACAAAGGAATTTTTGTGGTTTTGTGGAAAAGGGACTGAGAAAAACATGCCGACATATACGAAATGGTGACTTGTAAATGCCAACTTAGAAATGAAATTTTCAATGGAAACGCATTATAGACAATCGGGACGTTTCTTCCACCATCATCTTTGGTCCTTTTGCAACTTTGAATCTCCATCAAACTTACATCGATGAAGGACCTTAGTTCAAAGATGTGCACAGAACAATGACCTCATGATGACGTCATCAAGTGATTTATTATTTAATTTTTAATATTTATTTCAGCCCTTTGACTTTGTACACATTTTCAAGGCCCAGTTTTGGTAACTTGGCAATCTTCAGTCGTCCTCAAAGTTACACAAAGGATAAGGCTGGAAGCAAAGATAATACTCAAATACATGTAATTACGTTGTGATGACATTACCAAGCGATTTATTATTAAATTTTGAATATTTAAATATCATGTTAATGTTGTAAAATCCCTAAAAATGCCATATAAAATCTACCATGGCCTCCCGCAAATTGTGTTTGCGGCAAGTGCCAGAGTAAAACTGGGTCTTTAATTCATCTTGTGTGCGTCAAATTATGTAACCCTTCTGGTCAAAACCAGACGTGGGCTTATGGTTTAAAAGTGGTAATAGGTACCAAGTTGTTTTCAACAGTGTTAATCTGTTGGGGTATAGTCTTCTTCAAATCATCTACTGATGATGACACGTCCTCTAGTGACAAGTTAAAAATTCTGAAAAATGAATTTTGAATAGATGTCTGTGGTGAAGTTTGTCCGAATTGCCAGGAAATTGATGTAGACGGTGATCTTTACCCAGATAGCACATGTGAAATTTGGGGCCGATGACGTCATCAGATTGGAAGTAATTGGATGATAAAAAGTTCTTTTAGTCTTTAAAATTCGGTAGAAAATAATTCGTAACAGGTTAATTACAGATTACGTAATTACAGATTTAAATGTGAACTGTTCATTAGATGATAGCTAAAACATCAAAGTCAACTGCATGAAATGCCTAAGTGGTGTACTTTTTCACACAGACGAAGCGCCGACAACGAAAACCCCCTTACAATATTTGTGAACTCGAAAATCCCTTTCGCATACTGTGCATTGGCTGCTGTCACGTGTGGCCGGCAGCGCACTCTGCGTAGGGCATGTACTCAGGACCTGGCAAAATGCCGAGCACATATGGTGCCAAGAGCAGATCGTATTGATGGAACGCCAAAGGGGACAGATGTTTAAAATCTCTAATCTGTGCTCTTTCTGTGATAACAATGTTTTGTATTGTATTTTGTATTGCACATTAAAGGTGCACTTTTCCAAATGCTGTCTCTTGAAGTGCATGTCTGATTGGGTTGAAACATTGCTGCTATCTTGGAAAGGAAATAAGTTAGGCAAATATTGACCTGATGTGAAGATGACGTCATCAGGTGACAAGTCAGGTGGCATTGAAGGTGCACTGTTTAAAGCCCTGTATCTCCTGAAGTACACATCCCATCTATTTGAAACTTGCAGACATCAAGGAAAGGAAGTGTTTTAGACAAAAGTTTACCTGATCTGATGATGACATCGAGTGAGGAGTCAAATTGTTTATTTCAAACAAGTTATTTCCTGTAGTGCATGTCTGATTGAGTCAAAACCTTGCACCCAAAGGGTCATGATAAAATAGTTACACCATCAGGTTTGTGCAGTAGATTGTTTGTTCAAATTAACAAAGGAATGCAAAAAGCCCTCTGTTCTGTTGGCCAATTAATAGACAGATGAGCTCTAATTTATTTTCAAAAATCTGGGATCCACCAACAATTTGGCGTTTTAAAAAAGAATTTCCCTGTCCTCGAAATTTTTCCTTAAAAATCTGTGCCCCAACTTAAAACATAAAATTAGGCTGCCATTAGGTTGCCTTCTAGCTCTTTTGGTTTGTTTTTCAATTCATTCCATTCAATAAATATGTACTTTTCTATGACAGGAGGCTACACTTTAAACTCCGTGGAAGCTTCCTTTAACATAATCCTTTAAAGCCACAATTATCAAATTTTTCTTATCGAGTTTCCCAGCAAGATACATGTACATAAAAATATTTCGCCTTCATGTCGAATCAGTACTGCAGTGTGTACACATACTCAGTGTACTTTGCATTGCTGTGCATTAAATCTAAGTCCACACACAATGCTCGACTTTGTATGGATGAAATAAGATACGTGTAGTCCACAAGTTGGTGGTGCATGGCGGTTCTGGAAATGTAGATCCAGCACTGAGAAGGTCGGACTGGCCACCCGCAGTGTGTTGATAGATGGATGGCATAATTGGTAGTAGATCAGGATGCTCTCCCTGGGGTATACATAAACATTGAAATCCTGGTTGCAGAGAGGCCAGATTTTTTAAAGAGAAACTCACCTCATGCCAAAGCCTGTTATTCGTACCAAAGCCTGTTATTCTTACCAGTAGCCAGAGTGACTTGCTTTTTAAAGCTGCTATTAAGGAGCTGTAGGTACTTAAAGTACATGTACGTACAGCTCCTATCTCAATACTTCAGAGAATCTCTACTTTTCGAGAAAGTCCAGCTGGGTGAAGAAGTCTTTCCCTTATTTGATATCTTTAATTACCTTTCAGGCTGACATTGCCAAGGAGCGAAATATCAAGGAGTCAACTGTTGGCGGCCATCTTGCAGATGCCATCAGGGCTGGCTACCCTGTCAATTTTTCCAGACGTAGGTTTGAAGCACAGAACTGTGACCTACAAAATTGGTTTCAATATTTTATGTCCGTAGATGCTTTCTATTGAAAATGTTATGCCAAGAACATGTAGATTTATTTTCCCAAGGTATTTCTTCAATCCTAACTCTACAAGATACTTCAAAATCCACCAAGACATTTTGGAGGATATTTCAGGATGAGAGCTAGATACCACATGTTAACCTGACCAGTGTTTGCGAAATTTATCTGTAGTCAGAAATGACCAAATCTCAAAAAAAATACAATCAATGGAATATTTGTCTATATAACGGCTTTTGCCCTTACCCGATGTATATTAATAAGCACTGTATGCTCGGTGCTTGTCCGAGAGCTTGCGAAAAATCGTCACAAGCTTACTCACTCGGTTGGGAGTCGAGCCCATGACCTCGTGCTTGCTAGAGCAGATGTCTTAACCACTCAACCACAAAGCTTGCCGGGGTCGGCTGGCCGGTCCGAGTCAAGTGAAGCTGCAGGTTCCGTGAACTGTTTTTCAAGATGTATTTTTTTGTGTTGGGGAGATGTTAATTTATATAATGGCTTTTGCCCTTACCTAATTTTTTATTAAAAAGCACTCTATGCTCAGTGCTTGTCCGAGAGCTTGCGAAAAGAAAAAAAAATCTTGAAAATCAGTTCGTGGTACCCGCTGCTTCACTTGACTCGGACCGGCCAGCCGACCCCGGCAGGCTCGGTGGTCAAGTTGTTAAGACATTTGCACTAGTAAGCAGGAGGTCATGGGTTCGAGTCCCGCCCGAGTAAGTTTGTAAGGTATTTTTTTGCAAGCTCTCGGACAAGCACTGAGCATACAGTGCTTATTAATATACGTT